TTGGATTTTTGAAAGTTTATGGTTGATGCTTAGACATGTTTAAATCATTGCTAGGTAAATGAAGCATCGCTGAAAGGATCATAATGTACAAACCAAGGTACAACTCCATAGCTAGCTTGGTCTTGTCATGGGCCAAATATGAACTTAACAAGTAGCAATACAATTAGCTATTTATGCTGATTACAAAATGCTCCTGCTGAGTCAATGATGTACTTCCCCATGGCCTCCCACAGTGGTGCAGAGTGTTGTTGGAGACCATGCACAAAGGAGTTTGCCCTGCTCTGCTCCATCCTACCCTTCCCCTTTCTTCAGTACACATTATTTTCTATGAAATGCTACAACCCACATCCAGTCTGTGTTTGTAATGCATCCTCCTCTGTTCCTTCACATATGGCAGTCTGAAACAATTATATAATGAGACATATTATCAGGGCATAACTGTCAAAAATGAAGACACTAAGCTATGAATAAATATTACCCACTTAATAGCTGTGCTGTTCCTGTGTTCTCTAATCTATATATGTCCATGACTTTCAGACTTACATTCATACTCCTGATTACTTGTGTAACAAAAAGTGCTCAAGGAATGATTTATAAGGTCAAAGACAAATTCAACTCTAAAGAAAATAGGGATTCTAACTATTTTTTTGCTGTAGTCCTCTTTTTTCAGTCTGGTAAAATTTATTGACTCTCCTCAGACTAATGTTTCAAAATTTATAAAGTAAAATATATAGGCTAAAAAATGAGAATAATTGCATTGAAGTACTATAAAAATTTTGGTTTAGGAATATATATATATATATATATATGCATCTTTATTCACAAAATAACTCTAAACATTTAGCAGACATTCAATACGTATTAAAATTTCAAAATAATAATGAATATAAATAGTATTTTGAAATAGTATATGAAAAATGAAAATGTAAACAAAATAAAATTTAAAGTATTTTATAGAGACTATTAAAGATACTTTGAGATTGTGACTAACTAAAATTTATTGATTTTTAAAAAGAAGGAACTATTGTAACAACTGTAATGTGATATGGCAGCATCTGTGATATCTATAATTGACAAAATCACAAGTATTGCTACTACAACTATGGTTTCTTGTCTAAATTTATACTTTAAAGAAGTGCTTAATTTCAATTACATTGTAGTGAAATAAAGTTGTATTTTCCCCATTCAGATATCTTGTGTTAAAAATTCTGATCTGATATGATCCAACTTTGATTATTTTACTGTTTCTTCCTTCCGAAGCACCACTTATATTCTTTCTATTTTAAATTTGAAGATACCTAACTTGCCTCTGTCACCCTCATGGAGATATTTTAAAAGACTTGTTAAATCTTTCTGAAATATATTGTTTTCCCCTTCAAAAGTATACCTAGAAACATTAAATTGAATAAAAACATTGTCTCTGTCTAGATAAACACATACACTTCTCAATATAAGGGTGTCAGATGTCTCAGTGCTTGCCAGATCACTGATGGTAGCAGAGCGATTCCTACCTGGGTCTCCAGGTCTGGGTCTATGAATCTACTTTTTTTTCCCACACACTTAAGAAAGGCAACTGGAATGCAATGATTGAACCTACCATTGAGTGTTCAATTGTTCTAGCTTCTTTTCTAATAAAATTATTTGCAAACTTTGGTATAACAAATGGATTGTGGCAAACCTCACAGCCCAAAAGTATGGTGGGACTTCACAGTTTAGAATAACTGTTCTCTTGACAGTTACATGCACTGAGGAATTAGTGCTGGGACATTAAGTCTTTCAGAAATTAAAAAAAATAAAATGCCATTTAGCATTTATAGCAGGCAGTACTAAAGTGAAAAGCTCAGTGATCTGAAACTGGTCATGTTTCTTTGAAGCAGAGTGTGGCAAACTTATCTACAAGTCCAGATAGTAAATATTTTCAGTTTTGTGTGCCATGTAGTCTATACTGTGTCACTATATTGCAAAACCAAACATAGACAATACATAGACCAGTGAGTATGGCTATGTTCCAATGAAAAATAATTTATGGACACTGAAATTTGAATATTGCATAATTTGCAGATGTCACAATACCTTATTTTTAAAAATTGTTTTTTGCTGTAGGCCAGATTTGGTCCATGGAGCATAGTTTGCTATTCCTACCGTTAAATCTGAAACCAATAGCCTGATAGCAAACCAATTAACTAGGTTAATCTGACTGGTTAGCATACTCCAGAGAGAGTTGCACTTAAAATAAATTTTAGCTAGACTCTGAGGCAAGGAAATCTTTGATGTTTTCAGAGGTACCACATATAGAACCAGAATTCAAAATTATATGGAAACTCTCTTTATCTGAACTCAATCAGGAACTTGTGCTCAAAGATAACGTGTAGAAAGGATCGATTGTATACCGACACAGCAAATTGTGCTGTTATCAAAAAATGTGGAAATGTTATGGGAATAATTTAGAGTTTCATTTTATTTTGTTTTTCCATGAACACCTAATTAAAAGAAATATAGTATTTATATACCTCTGTTGGAGTTAGTAAACATTCCATTATTCTCATAAAATTATTTATGTTAGCAGAAACATGAAAGTTTAAAAGCATAAGTCTTCTAAATTTATGAGAAATAGCTTAATTACTGATTATTAATGGCAGAATGGATTTTTAGGGCATCTTTTCAGAGAGAAAAACAAAGACAAATTTTTTAAAAATCAGAAGGAGGGTGGTAGACAGTAGCAATATGGTGTGGGTGTAGACGAATCTCTGTGATTCATGAAAAAGTTAGGGTGCACAGATTAACTCTGTCGTGAGAAAGTAATTCGTTTCTTATAGAATGGTTCTCATCAATCAGCTTCAGCTCATTACAAAAATTAGAATGAAATTTCACCTATTTAAGGAATCAAACAGTGTAAAATCTACAACACTAAATGTGAACTTCAATCCCGTGGCTGTGATTGTGGTGGTGGTGATTGTTGTTTTATAAATATCACCAGGCACACATCTGGGACTTCAGTGCTTGCCACAATGTCGTTTTCTGGTTGACATATATCTACAAAATGCGTATATTAACACCCAGGCTATAGAGCCAAGCACATTTTAGTGCCGGCTACAGCTGAAAGAATATGTTTCCATTCCTTGTCCATCTGTTCTTGGCAACAAAAATTTAAACTAGAAACACAGAATAAGTTTCATGAGAAATAAGTCTAAATAGGGCTCAGAACAGCAAGGTGGATGCTCTAACTTATCATGACTTGTTAACATTTGATTTTGTAGCTAAAAGATTGTTTTTACTTGGAGTAAGCTCTTACTGCAGCTACAGTTTGAGGATCAAAAAATGGTTTTTCAAGCATACACTTAAAAAATTGAGTCTTGGTCACATACTCTGTTTTAAGTTATTTTATTAAATTTGCCAATGATCATGAGCCTAATTAACTTTGAGATATAAAAGCACTATTTGTCACCACACAATTAAACTGAAAATAAATCATTAATGTCTCCGAATTCCACACTAAAATGAATTCATTAGTGAGAGTGAGGGCTTTCTATACAAAATGGATTCCACACAAAACACATTTGTTTGCTTTTCTCTAAGTCCAACCTCAATCATGACCAGCTATTACATGGTTATCATTTATAATAATCATGCCTTCCACTGTATTTCACTCCCTAGCTTTTCCTGCTACTCAAACAATATGAAATTATTTATTTATATTAGAAAATACACAGAAACACTTAGGAATATTAAAGTTTTAAAAAGTACCTTGTATGCACACCTAGATTCCTACCTCCAAGTGTCCTGGAATCCTGAGTTAAGCAAGTGAGCAGATGTAGTCTCACTGTGTCTAGGGGCAGGACTCTGGGATTCTACCAATGTGAGTTTTTAACTTTTGCGTTCTGTCTGAGTGCAAATTTTTCAGGTTGGAAAGGGACCTTTAAGTTCACACGGTGCTACCCCCATCCCTATGGAAGAGCATTTCTATAGTTTTTTTTTTTCCTTAAATCTGTCCTTTTTATAAGACTGATTTATCAAATGTAGCATAGTGCATCAAAGTAGTTGGGTTCAATTTTTGGTTCTGTCACTTTCTAAGTATGTGATTATGAATAAAACAATTAACTTCTCCTGTTTTCAACTTGCCCAGCTGTAAACAGGGATAATCATAGTCATCTTAAATTAATTTGACGGAGAGCAAATGAGATAATATGTAGAAAGTGCTTAACCCAGTGACTGGCACTTAGTAAACACTCAAGAAGTGATGCATCTCACTATTAGCTCCTTTCTAATGTCCTCTGCTAGAAAATAATAATAACAATAGTGCTGTGCTAATTATCTGGTCTACTTTTGAATACTATTTTGGCAGAATATTCTTTTACATCAAAACAACATTTTAATAAACTTATCTTGTTTCTTATGCTTCTATACAAAGTTTCCTATTGCCATGGACAAGTTACTCAATTATTTTAGGACTCATTCTAATGTATAAAATAAGAAGCTTCAGCTTAATATCTCTAAGGTCTCTTGTTCAAGTAATTTAACAAAATCATGTTTGACAGCATATCCTCAGACTTTATTTATAGTGTTGAAATGTATATATGCTGCCAAATGTCTGATGTGGGATGTATAATGTTCCATATATACATGTGGAATAACATCAAGATTGTTGCTGTTAAAAACTACTGGTATTTTTTTTTTTGGTATTATTTGGCTCAGAAACTATTCTCCCATTTTGTTTCAGAATAAGCTGACAACAAATCATTTTCCAAAGAACACCAAGGTTTAGTAAAATTGAGAGTTACAAAAGTAGGCCATCTTTTTATTACTTTCAGTTTCTAAGACAGAAGATTTCTTGGTGAATTAGTTTTTACTTTTTTATCACTGTAGTACCTAGTGACATTGAATTGTGGATATTTGCGCGCGTGCGTGCACACATACACACACACACACACACACACACACACATACACACACACACTGTAACTTACAGTGCATCTTTTTTGTTTCTTTGTTTGTTTAGATCTGAGTGACCAGTTGCTGGAGGTGGTTGGATTGGAAGGAGCCATGGAGATGGGGCAAATATACACAGGTCTGAAAAGTGCTGGCCGGCGACTGGCTCAGTGCTCCTGCGTGGTCATAAGGTAGTTTTTTCTTGATAATTGACAAGGAGGCTTGACGCAGCATAGCCTCAAATGAATTGCAAGTATATAGATTTTTAAATAATGGACATTCCCTGATATAAGGCGGTATCTCACTGTGATCTTGATTTGTATTTCCCTGACAATTAGTGATGTTTTTTTTTTTGAACATTTTTCTATATGTTTGTTGGTCATTTGTATATCTTCTTTTGAGAGATGTCTATTCATCAAAATAAAGAAAAAACGTTTGCAGAACTTTGATAACGATATTTGTCTTGTTTGTACTTCAAATGATCAATGATTAATACATATATATTTCAAAATAATCAAAATTTTGCAGACTTCACAAAGTATTAGTTAGCTATCACTAATCAAGTTTGTTGGAATCTGATTATCTTTTGCTGACTACATGAACACATTGATGCACCAGTTCTAACATACAAATTTTATTCCTTCTGAATTGGTTTATATTCATTTTAGTCTACTGAAGCACCAAAGTATTTACTGGGCAAATTACCCACCCTCCCCCCCCAAAAAAAACACTGTTGAGGCACCATTGACTTTAATTATTTTGTGGACTAAAATGTTACATTGTTTCTGTAAAATTAAATAATAAAGTATTGCACTGTAAGATTTTATGTGTGGATTAAATTTGAACATTTTCAAGAAATTATTTTCCAAGATGTCATCTACAAGGGGAAAAAAAAGTTGCTGTTGCCCTAAGAGTGAGACTATATATTGTGGTACAGACATAATTGACATTGTCTATATAAAAGCGTAGGTACTGGAAAATCTGAGACACCAAATATCTTTTCTCCTGGTTTGTAATATGAAGGTCTGAAAATAAGGAAGCTCTTTTAGCTGTAGGAATTCTGATGGTATCATTAAACATAAACCCTGACGTTTTCTTTTGACATCAGAATTTTTGTTTATATCACCACATTTACCAGGAAGCTGTTAACATTCCTGTGACCAAGGTACCTTCCAGGGTATTCATTAATAGTGAAGAGTTGAAATCCCTTTCAAAAGAGAGAACTTCAGAGCCCAGCCATTTGCCTTCCCTGGACTCATTATCTTGTATCTTAGTCTGCAATATAAAGCATTTCAGTGTTATACTTAAAATGAAATATTTTCCCCCAGGACTAGCAAGTCGCTGCCAATGCAGATCGATGGGGAGCCATGGATGCAGACCCCATGCACAGTGAGTACAGAGCACTTGAGATGCTATGTCAATCTCTTATTTCTTTCCAGTTATTGTATACTCATATAACTAAATAACCACAATATCTGATCTTTGTTCTTTATTTCTTTTTGACTTATCAACAAATATCTTTCTTTTCTTTATGTATCAAAGCCACTGCATTCAGGTTTTAGACATTCTATGCCCTTGACAATATTATTTTTGAATATTTGTGTTAGCCTGAGTATACCTCTTAAATATCATAGATCAATTATAAACTCTGAAACTAAACAAAATATTTTGATAAAGTTTCTCTTAAACCTTTTTGTGTTTACTTGAGAGAACTATTTGTAGGACATAAATTTACGTCTGATTTATGAGAAAACTATTTATAGGACATAAATTTATGTCTGATTTGCAACTCATCTTTTATTTTGTCTCCATTTGAGGATTTTAGGGCATTCTTCTAAATAGGAAAATGCCCCCTCTCAATTTATACCATAGTTGTTTTCCCATGATGAAATATTATTGAAGTCAAGTATTTACCTCTCCAAATAAATTTCAACTTTCATTTAGTTAATGAATATTTTATTGAATTTCAAAGACATACTGGGCACTGCTTTTGTCCCTGGTGGTGGAAACACAACACGGATCAACATCATCCTCAAGAAACTTACATTCTGATAATGGGAGGTTAAACAAACAAATATATACAAAGTATAACTTCAGATACAAAAATTATTTAAAAATAAAGTGAAATGCCGAAGAGAAGCTTGAGAGAGTGTGAATGATATTAATTTAGATATATGAATCTGAGAGATTTCTCTGAAAGAATACAGCTGGAAACACAGTGTGTGAAAGAAACAGGAAGGGGAATGGTAATAGGGAAAGTAGTAAAGGGGATGGAATGGATCATGTGGAAAAAATGAGGGTAGACTTAACATTTAATTTTAAGTGCAATAGGAAACTATTGAAAACTTTAAGCATCATCTGAGGGGTCTCATTATGTCGCCCAGGCTGGAGTGCAGTGGCACCACCATGGCTCACAGCAGTCTTGACCTGCTAGACTCAGGTGATCCTCCCACCTCAGTACCACACCTCGATTTTTTGAAGGGACTAAGTCTCACTATGTTGTCTACCCAGGCTGGTCTCAAACTCCTGGGATCAAGTAATCTCCCACCTCTGCCTCTCAAAGTCCTGGGATTACAGGAGTGGGCCACAGTGTCCAGCCTCAATTTACATTTTCTTTTTTTTTTGAATTGAAGTCTTACTCTGTGACCCAGGCTGGAGTGCAGTGGCACACTCACAGCTACCCCAGTGTCGACCTGCTGGGCACCAATGATCCTTCTGCCTCAGTCTCCCAAGTAGCTGCAACTACAGGCATGCACTACCACGGCTAATTTTTTATTTTATTTTATTGTAGAGACAAGGGCTCACCAAGGTGCCTGGGCTGGTCTCAAACCTGCGGGCCCAGGCAATCCACTTGCTGCAGTCTCCCAAAGTGCTGGGATTACAGGCTGAGACACCGAGCCTGGCCTTGGTTTATATGCTTAATGCTCACATCGGCTGCTCTATTAAGGATGTATTGTACTGAGTAGCAACTGGGAACTTTAAATTTCACTTTAACTGAAGGGAATATTTAGTATTCGTAGCACTGGTATGGTTAACTATAGAGCATTTTTTGCTTCAGTCAGATAACACAATATTTTTTCTTACAGAACATAAGAATTGGTAGAATGTTAAAACTCTCTGCTGAATTTAAATATCCATAAGTTGATATTTGATTTATGAAGGAATTGCTCTAGATACAATTTTAGAGAAGAGCAGAAGTTCTGTTTTTTTCTTTAAATGGAATATATAAGATGGAAAGGCAGGCAATAAATATGTCTTGATTTCTAAATCAATTAATGGTTTCACAAAAAATTCAAACTAGTGTAAATTCTGGAGATGGGTGGTAGTGATGGTGGCACAATGCTGTGAATGTACTTAATGACACTGAAATATACACTTAAATTTCAAGTTAAAAATGGTAAATTTCATGACATGTATATCTTATCACAATAAAAAAATTGAGAAAAAATAGATATAATATTTATTTATAATTTTCACCAACCCTGATTTCAAATATCTGGAAAATAAAAAACCAAAGAATTAGTTAACTAACTCTTCAGAGATGCACTTTGAAATTATTTTTAATGTCCTTCTAAATTCTCTCACTATAAAGCAATCAATAGAAATGTGTTAAGTATTCTTCTGTCTACCGTTTTGTAATAATCACTGAGTTAACCCAGGATGGATTTTAGCCATATAACTATTGATCATAGTCATAAGCATATAAAGAGAACATTAAGGCTAGAAGACTGTAAGTGGAAAACAGTTTTAGAAGAGCCTTTTTGGGGCAGGACTCAGCCTGTTTTCTTCTTTGTAACCTTTTCCTTCCACATCCTTTCTCCTGAGTACATAGAACATATCACTTTGTAGTCAATATGTTCCTGTAATGGGAAGAAGAAAGAGCAGCTTGGGGACTGAGGGAGAGGGGATAGAATGGTAGGAGAGGAGGGACATAGACTAGATCAGATTTCATCTTGTATCTGTGTACCCAACATCCTCTTGCTATCCATTCATTACAAGAGATAGGTACCCAGTAAAGTTTTATTTTAAATGAGAAGTGACTATACAAAGTCTGAAGAAGCTCAAATTCAATATAACCAAAATAGATTCATTATTTGCCTCCCCACATTCTCCTCATTACAAATAATGAGGTGTTCTTACATTCCAGATCTGTTGTTCTTTCCTATATCATATTAAGTTCGTGAAACCATTATTACAACCTGTGCTTCTTTCCTCAGCTTGAAATAAAAAAGTCATCCTATACTTTGCTCTATACCCTCAAATCCAATTTACATGTCCACTTAAAAATATGACCTATTTTTGGAATATTTTCCTTTCTTTCCATTCTTACTACCAGTGTTTTAGTTTTGGCCCCTTTCATTTCTTTCTCACTCCTGGCAAAAATCACATTAGTATTTCCCCCATCTCCATTTTTGTGTCATTCAAATTTATCCTTCATATTTCTACCAGAATGTTCACCGTAAAATATAAATCTCATCATGACACTCTTCTACTTAAAATCTTTCAGTTATTTAGTCTGATAAAATGTAATTTGAGTGAGACTTCCTGTTTTACCAGCATCATCTCTTACTTCTTTTTTTACCTTTTCATGTACTTTCATCTTGTCCAAAAAACTTTTCTTCTTCTTTAGTTGAGTTACACAACTCAACTTTTGAGACCATTCCTTGCTGTCTCTCCTTCATAAATCCTCCTGAGCATGGCCCCTCCCTTCACTGCTCCACCTCCTCCTTTGCTCCAAATAACCTAAAATCTCAGTCTCAGTGCTTCACAACTTTATCAAAACACTAACAACATTACATTGAAATTATCCAGCTGAAATGTCCAGCTTCTTGTAAACACAAGCTCACTGAGTTCATGGGCCATGATTTTGGTCATCTTTGGGCCCTCAGAGCATAACACTGTGCTTAACTCATATTTGATTGCCAATACCAAGTGCATTTTGAATTCGCAAATTTTTAAAATACTTCTTGGGGTGGTATAACATTTTAAAAAATGTTTTCTACTAAATCTTCTTTCACTGAACATAATGTTGGTTGGCTAGCAATTCATTCACATATTTTTCATATATAAATACATGTAAAAGTTATTTTGAGTTATCTTTATTCATTATATTCTCAAAGCAAAGAATTTGAATGTATCAGAGAAGAAATGCTTTCTCAATCTCAAAAGATTTAATCCTTCTGTTTCCTGTATGGTACAGCTCAACTTCTTTGGGCCACTTCCCTCTGCATTATCAATTGTGTATTCATTTAATACGTTCTAAAGGCTGCATTCTGTTAATTCTTTGAAATACAATGGTGTGTATTAGTTACTACTTGTGCTACAAACAGTTTTAATGCAATATCATTCTGAGTGTTTTATCATTGATTAAGACAGAAGTGATTCCTAAAACTTTCTTCCTTGTGGTAGAGAATGGAAAAGAAAATCATGAACAGACTGTAAATTAAATGGTGAAATGACCACAGGGAAAATTTCAAGACTCATAAAAGTGATAGCTAAAGTCACAGCAACTTCTAAAAAATATTTCATGTGTTTTGATCTCCCCTTACCTTTTGGTAAAACATATTTCTTTGGTATGATACATCTCAGAAACCTAAACCCACTTTCCCAGTCTTACCTACACCTTCCTTCAACATGCAGGTTAACCCTAGGCATACCTGGTAGTCTTGCTATCTTAGGTTTGATCCCTTGCCTTCCTGGATACCCTAAGAGCACCTGTTGCCTGCTACCCTGATTTCCACTGTTGTCAACCATTCTATAAGATGCTGTTTTCTGTCTTGAATGCCAGTACCCTTCCCTGGTCTCAGCACCTACTTGCCTCAGTCAGGCCCTGGCTACTTGCTTTGCCTTTGTGTGTATTCTCTACTAGAAAGAATGGATCTTTTCTCCATTGCCCTAACCACTGAAATCACCTAGAGTTCATCTTCATTTGGATACTTGTTTTCATGAATTCCGGTATATCTTTAAAATGCGAACCCTTTAATGAGAGGAATGTATTTCAGGGACTACTAATGTTTTTGTTTGTGTATTTTTGTTTTGATAATTTAAAATAGCCATAATTTCAAAGTGTTATTTGTTATTTAATCACTTGCTATATACAAGTCAATCTCAGTTCATTAAGATTAAAAACAAAAAATTTATAAATTTATCTTTTTCTAAACATAGTACATTAGTATCAGCTAGATTAAGGTTGATGGATTTTTCAAGACATTTGGAAGATTTGGAGATGTTTAAAGAAAAACTTGCTAACATTTCCTATATATGTTGCTTCCCATACACCAGTTTCTGTTCTATGTGTTCATAGTTCCTACTTCTTTAATACAACAACCCTAAGAAGTATTAAAGTTATTATAATTCCCATGTTATTAAAAAAAATCAGAAACCAGATA